ATAAAAAAAAAGACTAAGATTAGCGGTATTTAAAAAGTTATAACTTGATTCGTTCGTTTAAACAACAGCTGGAATATTAGAGGTGGATTTGAATACTTCCTTACCCCAGTTTGTACTAAAACACATTTTAGATTTAACATAAATGGCAAAGATATACTAACATATAACATTCTGAATAGAATAATTAAATAGAATGTGTCCTGTAAGAACGTTCATAAATGAGGATGTTTTTGTTTTAGCGCAAAGCTACACGATAGGCTATCTGCACTTTGTCTTCCACGGGGAATCGAATCCTGAATTTTAGCGTTAACTTACTTAGTATGTTAACTTACCGCTAATCTATCGAAGGACATATAACTCAGAATTAATGAAATTCACTTTAATTGCGAAGTAGATCTATACAAAATTACATTATCATCACCATACGAGTTTACCTATATAATGAGGTTTCATAAAGGTACAACACCATGTTTCTACCGACTTACAAAGAGCTGGATTTTAGAGATAAAACGTTGGTTCTTAAAACTGCAAGTATATGTAGCGGTCTAGAATAATGATGTCATTTTAGGAAACAGCGGGTTTCTTTATGTTTACAACAAAATTACATTATGAGCTTAAATATTCTGCTTATTTTGATATTTTATATGCATAAGTCTAAATTAAGTTTCAGTCCCAGAAAGTATACGATGTCTTACAAAACTGAAATGAAGTTAAATCTTAACAAAGTTTTATAGAGCTACAAGTGTTGTATGATCATGAAAGTCACCTTGATTCTATCGGAGTATAAGAGTACAAAAAGTTTAGTTTATTATATTCCAGTAATAGATTATGTGGTGAATGCAAAGAAGCACAACCAATATATCTATCAACATAAAATCTGTGTGATATAAAAAGTAAATAACTTTCATAACTTCAGTGAAAATGTAACGCAGCAGAATTTTATTTCTGTTTGAAGGTTACCACTTCAAAGTATCAGTTACCAAACATCGTATTAACATGTATTACGTTGACAAAAAAGTAAGTTCTGACAAGGCAGAAGATTGGTTTGTTTTTGAATTTCGCGCAAAGCTACACGAGGGCTATCTGCGCCTCCCACCAAACATGCTCCCCTTTCAGCCGTGGGTGTGTTATAATGTGACGGTCAATCCCACTATTCGTTGGTAAAAGAGTAGCCCAAGAGTTGGCGGTGGGTGGTGATGACTAACTGCCTTCCCTCCAGTCTTACACTGCTAAATTAGGGACGGCTACGGGGATTCGAACCCGTGACCCTCAGATTGCGAGTCGAGTGCCCTAACCACCTGGCCATGCTTTTAGTCAGAATTCGCAATTCCATCTGTCGTCTGAGAGCTTAAACGGCAGGAACTCAAATGTCGGAATTAAACTATTTAATTTTAAGTTAAGAGGAAATTTTGCACTATATTTTCATAAGCAATTTCGTAAAATAGAACTTGCAATAAAGTAAAATAAGAAAACAAGAATATTTATTTTGAAGATTGCGTTATGTACTATTTGAGCCGCCTTACCTTCCGCAAAACATCACCATAGGGTAATTTGTAAACATTTTCGCCCCTAAAGCTGCAGTTCCCACCATAACTACTGTATCTTTGGCATCATATGACTCTAAGATGTCACTAGTTGCGTAAGAACCAAAGGTCAAGTATCCTGCCGCTGCAGCCACAGAATAAGTAAACGCACACAAAGCGATGGCCACAAGAACGGTTCGGAGAAAATTGACTACCCTCCTGTCAGCTAAACACGAGTATATCGGGACGCTGCTAACATGGCACTGAAAAAAAGTAGTGTTTAAAATTAGATATACTCACTTTTTTTGTTTTAACTGTGCCTAATCGTTTCCTGAAACAAAGAACGTTAAATTAATACCGTTTATGTACGGTGATATAGAATTGTCACTAGTTAAGCCAATAAACCAAACTAATCCAATATTTCTGTAAAATTGAGTTTACAAGGTCTCCTGAAGCTCCCTCTACTTTAATATACAGTTGGTTAACTCAAATACTATGCCAAAACATCTTACTGTTTAATAAAACTAAACAAAAAAGATAATTATCTTCTCCGTTAACAAGTATAAACAATTTGTCTATGAACTGTGCTCACCACAGGTTAAAGACAACATAGTTTTAGCATATACTTTAATTACAGAACTAGCAAATATTGCTGGTAATGTTACGTTTCGTTTATTTAATTAACCGACGGTCTTTATGTTAACTTACGACACTAGTTTGTAAGACACTAAAATTGCTTAAGATAACTTCTTAATGAGCGAGATACTGCATAAATAATAGACCACTGCACATACTGAATTAATACAAGTTCAGATGAAGAAATTGAGTAAACAACAACAAAAATAACATGAATTAAGTAATTTTGAACTCTGGAGGCAAGGTTGTAGTTGACATACGATGGTCGACAATACAAGCTTGTTGTTATAAAGTGGTAGCCATGTGATGGGAAGCGTAACAGAAATGACCCTGAGCAGTTAATAGTGGGGTTAGGAGAGAAGAGTGGGGGGTAGCCCTTTCGCACAGATGATTGAGCTCTCGTCTGCGTGCGAGTGGATTTCGAGGGTTGCAAAGATTAGACGGGCACAACAATGCACAAGTATGTAATTTCTTTCCACTTGCTCTCGTACTACATAGCTTTGAGTTTTCATTATACAGTATGGGGTCGTTCACAATTATCAATATTTTCACAAGTGTACAAATGGTACATTTTTGCAGACCCCCTCCCCCCAAAGTGTACAAAGAAAATGTTGATGTTTCACTACCTATGTACTAAGACTTTGCACAATCCATGACCTTCGCTATTCATGCAGTTGTTCGCCATTGTTATCAGGAAGGGCGCAATGTGCATAGCGAGAACTGCGGGATCTAAGCGAGGGTCACCGGTAGAGAAGTTCGCGCGAAAATTTAAATCGACATTTTTTGAATTTTCAAAAGATGTAACCTGACAACATTAAACGAACATAGCCCTAAAAAGGAAAGTAGTAACAGAATTTCAAACAATCAAACCTGCCAACCAAAATCTAAAGCCAAGAAGATACCAACAACAGTACAGGAGGGAGGAAGAGGTCTACTAGAACCTGACTCTTCTAGGTCGCAAAAGACTTAAATTCCGATTATTGATCCAGCAGCAGCAAAAGAAATAACGGTCGGAAGAGGTCAAGATTGTACTGGACTCTCCCTGGTCCAAACAAGAACCTAAACCCCGATAAAGCAGATGAAAAGAATTAAAAATAAAGTAAAGCCGCCTAAAACTAGACATAATACCATCAATGGTTTTAATTTACTGTGAAAGTATTAAAAATGTTTTTTTTTCTAGATGTGAATACTCTTGCCGCAACTTAAAATTATTAAAAAAAAAAGTGAACAATACTTCTGGAACTGTTCATGAAGTGTGAACCTTAGCACGAGCGAATTAAGAGATGTGTATTAACACATCAATATTAATATAATTACATACAAGGATATGGCCCTGAAAGGGGTCAGAGTGAAAGCATAAGACTAGCTAAATTCTGACCCTCTTGTAGTAATTCAGTTTAGTACCATAGCAGTTATTTCTATTTAAAACTTTTAACCTTAGGCCAAATTAACTGTAAATAATCAATTTCGACCAAGGGTCAAAAGCAATCGGGGGTGGTCAGAAACATGAATATTGAACAGTTATAAACCAAGTGCAGGAGAGAGGAAGAGGTCGCTCAACCTGACCCTTCCTGGGTCAGAAAAGGGTACGCTGGCCCTTAACTCCCCCCCCCCCCCCATCCAGCATACGGCTTGTACGCTTGTGAAAATGTTGATAATTGTGAACTACCCCTAAGCGAAACTCGTCTTTCTACTATTCTGAATTATTACTCATTCTAGATAACACAGGCTTGCAATGGTTTTATTGTCTTGAAATGTTTACATGTTTTACAATAATTCCTGTACGCTGAATCCAAAAATGATATCCATTTTTCTCCATCACGTACAGATTTTTAACAAAACGTCATATGTACTTTTACATAAGTGAATCATTTTCATTGAAATCGGATCACGTTTTGTTATGCTTAAAATGTTGACAACCACTGGCTATAGATTTCTCTTGACCAATCGCGACGTGAAAGTTTTATCGATCGTTCTAGAACCCACGAGAAACACATCGCTAGTAGATAAACGATTAACAGACTGCATGACGTGTCATTTCTCGATAATATTTATTTATGCGTGCACTTTGACCATTATTTTTTCTTTTCAATATTATTTATTCGTCGCTATGGCAACAAGAGGTTAAGTAAATGACCCAAACATGTTATGTTATATCTGTGATAAACTTGTTGTAAAGAAACAAAGGCAAATCATTAAAGAATTCGTCAAAAAAGCGTATTACGTGTATTTTAGAATAAAATTTGGTGACCAAGACAAATCATGGACTCCGCAAAAAGTTTGCACCATTTGTGTCAAAGAGTTGAGACAATGAACTAAAGGTAAAAAAAAGTATTTGACCTTTTGGAATTCCAATAGTCTGGCGTG